AGAGAGAGAGAGAGAGAGAGAGAGAGAACACATGGCCAACAAGCCACTCCCACAGAGGAGGCCACACCCACAGAGTAGGTTCAAAAAAATTTTGAACAGGACAACAGGAAAATAAGATGACCCCCTCCTCTTTGGGGCAGCCCCTCAAATATCGGAGGAGTGCTATCATCTCCCCCTTAATTCCTTCTTTTCTCTAGCCAAACCCAATTCCTGCAATTGTTCTTCCTATGTTTTAATCTCCATCCCTTTAATTATCTTAGTTGCTCTTCTCCGCACTTTTTCCAAAGTCTCGACATCTTTTTTTCTAATGTGGGGACCAAACCTGGGGGCAGGGTTCCAGGTTACTAAGGCTTTGCAAACGGTACTAACGCTTCATGCGATTTTGATTCTACGCCTCTGTTTATACAACCAAGGATTGTATTTGTTAAATCCTAAAGCGCCCCCAGAGCTGCTCTCCCCAGAGATAAAGAGGGATTTCCCTCCAGCTCCCCATAACCCCCCCCCCATCCACCCCCCAGCCTTCCTTACATCCTCCAGGAGAGGCCGGAGTTTCTTCGCGACGAGGACGCACAGGGACCCCACGTAAAGCCTCCGCTGGTGTTGGCTCAGGATCTTCGGAAGCGCTCGGAGGGCGTCTCTCACCGTCTTCTCGTGAGCCTCGCTCAGCCCTCTCAGCATTTTGCACACCAGCCCTTCCAGGGACCTCAGCTGCAAGGAGGGAGGGACACTTTGGGGGAAGGCGGACCCTAAAACCCCACCCCCAAAGACCACCCGGGGGCCCCGACGCTTGGAGACCAAGGCGCTCTGAATGGGAATCAAACCAGGGGGGGGGAGGTCTCCCCGGTTCCCTTTCCAGCAGCTCTTCAAAATCATCATCCTCTTCTTTTAACGACCCCCTAATCTCTTGCGGGGTGGAGTCTGAGCTGTGTATTTACTGGCCAGATGCCCTTCCTGTTGCCAATGAGGAGTTTTGCTTTCAGCAGATATATTATTCTTGTGCTCCAGAGAGAGAAATATCTGCCTCTACCTAGCATCAAACTCACAGCCCCCTGATTGTGAGGCCCCCTAATCCCTTGCGGGGTGGAGTCTGGGCAACTGAATTGAATTAGCAGAGTGTTTCCTGGCCAGATGCCCTTCCTGTCGCCAAGGTGGAGTTGTGTTTGGCAGATCTATTCTCATGGAGCCCAGAGAGAGAAATATCTACCTAGGCTCGAACTCACAGCCTCCTGATGGTGAGGGGAGAGCTCCACCTCTAGGCCACCTCACCACTCGTCTTTCGCTATTCTAATGACGGTGGGTTAATCCTATTATGTCCTAAGGGTCTTGTCCTGTTCTTAGAATTTGGGGGAGAGAAGACATAAATTCTATATAGAGCCGAGGTGGCGCAGTGGTTAGGGTGCAGTACTGCAGGCCACTTCAGCTGACTGTTATCTGCAGTTCGGCGGTTCAAATCTCACCGGCNAAAACATATGGCCGGCAAGCCACTCCCACAAAGGAGGCCACACCCACAGAGTAGGTTCGAAAAAATTTTGAAACCCACCACTGAACCTCCCTCTCAGGCAGGAAGCCTTATACCAGCGATGGTGAATCTTTTAGACACTAAAAGTGCCCAAACTGTGTTTGTGTGTGTGCATGCCCAAACTGAAATGTTGATATGCGCGGACGTATGCGCAACAGAGACCTGGAGACCAACATCGGCAGCGTAGCAAAAGGTCAGATCTTCTTCTTTCGTGCACTTCTGTTTTGTTGTTTTCAGGGAAACAGAAGCTCATGATGGAAACGCCTTGGAGATCTGACCTGGGGTGAACAGCTTGCGTGCCAGCCGAGAGGGCTCCTTGTGCCACCTCTGGTATGCGTGCCACAGGTTCCCCATCATGGCCTTATACCATTTCACACAAAGGGTTATCCAACATCTTCTTAAAAAACTACCAGTGTTGGAGTATTCACAACTTCTGGAGGCAAGTTGTTCCACTGGTTAATTGTTCCCATTGATAGACAAATTAGTTCTAGGTTGGATCTAGAATGATAGAATCACAGAGTTGGAAGGGACCTTGGAGGTCTTCTAGTCCAACCCGCTGCCTAGGCAGGAAACCCTATACCATTTCAGACAAATGGCTGTCAATCTCTTCTTAAAAACTTCCAGTGTTGGAGCATTCACAACTTCTGGAGGCAAGTCGTTCCACTGGTTAATTGTTCTCACTGTCAGGAAATTTCTCCTTAGCTCTAAGTTGCTTCTCTCCTTGATTAATTTCCACCCATTGCTTCTTGTTCTGCCCCCAGGTGCCTTGGAGAATAGTTTGACTCCCTCTTCTTTGTGGCAACCCCTGAGATATCGGAAGACTGCTATCATGTCTCCCCCGGTCCTTCTTTTCATTAAACTAGACATACCCAGTTCCTGCAACCGTTCTACATATGTTTTAGCCTCCAGTCCCCTAATCCTCTTTGTTGCTCTTCTCTGCACTCTTTCCAGAGTCNTTGCTAAGTAAGTTGTAACACGGTTGTTAAGTGAATCTGGATTTTCCCTATAGTGTTTCCTTGTCAGAAGGTCGCAAAAGGGGATCACGTCCCCCTAGGATGCTACAACAGTCATAAGTACATGCCAGTTGCCAAGCATCTGAATTTTGATCACCTGACCAGCGGGAGGGTGCAATGGTCATAAGTGTGAACAACGGTCGTAACTTGCTCCCCCCAGTACCGTTTGAACTTCGAACAGTCACTAAGTGAAGCGTTATAAGTCAAGGACTGCTTGCATTATACCAGTGTTTCTCAACCTTGCCGACTTTAAGTCCTGTGGACTTCAACTCCCAGAGTCCCCCAGCCAGCACAGCTGGCTGGGGGATTCTGGGAGTTGAAGTCCACAGGATTTAAAGTCGCCAAGGTTGAGAAACACTGCATTATACAGTTGAACGCGGCATTCAAAGAAGAAAAAAGATTTCTGCGTATTCTCAAATATAGATAGTCCTCATTTACTGACTGTTTCACATTACAACGACACAGGGAAAAAATGACTTAACCCACTGTTCACACTTATGACCATGGTAGCATCCCCGTGATCAGGGGATCAAAATTCGGACGCTTGACAATCGATTCATAATTTGTGACGGTCCCAGTGTCTGAGATAAGGGGATCACCATTTCTGACCGGATTCCAACAAGCCAAGTCAATTGCGGGGGGGAGCCAGATTCACTTAACGACCACATGATTCACAAAACAACAGCAGTCCTTTGCTTGACTGCTGTGGCGTAAAACTCACTCGAAAGTGTGAATTCGGGGTTCAGTTGTTGCCGTAAGTCAAAGGACGGCTTCTATTCTGAGGTAAAAGTGAACGTATATCTTCCTCCTGTTTTTACATTATTCATTCTTGAAAAGGAGGAAAATATATATATTCACTTTTACCTCAGAATAGGAGCCATCCTCGATGTTGGACGGCATAATAGCTGTCTGAGGGCCTGCTATGTATTAAAGTTGAACTCTGGCGCTTTCTTTGACGGACAATGAAGTTGATGGGTTTAGCTGGAATTGGAATTGTTGGCCTTTCTGCTTCATTGTCAGTTGGGTTTATGGTTGGCCTTCTCTTCCGAGAACTCAAGAGAGCTTCCCTAGCAACAAAAGAACAGAGCTGGAAGGGACCTTGGAGGTCTTCTAGTCCAACGTCCCCAGAGGTGGGTTCCTACCAGTTCGCACCTATTCGGTACTAGAACCGGTTCGTCAAATCTACTGAACCGGTTAGAAGAGGTTCCACCAGTGGACCCGGAAAGCAGGCCACACCTACAGAAGAGGTTCCAAAAAATGTTGAAACCCACCACACACACACACACACACAGACTCACACAGAGAAAGAAAGAAAGGAAGGAAGGAAGGAAGGAAGAAAGAAAGAAAGAAAGAAAGAAAGAAAGAAAGAAAGAAAGAAAAAAATAAAGAAAGAAAAAGTGAGACACACACACACACACACAGACTCACACAGAGA